GGTCTATCGTAAGAAGTTGCACTGCAGTCTCAAAGGCATGTTTTTCAAATCCACCAGCTGCTCTGTGGGAGAAAATGGGCAATCTCCTGCTGTATGACTTACTGCCTCTGAAAATCCACTAGAGGGTCAGTTATGAGCTGGTTCCAATTCAACATTACACAACTCCAGCAACAACTTGTATCAGCAGAATATATTAAACAGAATAAGATGCTATAATCCCTAAATTCTCTCTTCAGTCAAATATGTTAATGATTAAAAAAAAAACAACAAAAAACCCCAAACCCTCAAAACAACAACTCTAGTTATATGTCCATGAGTTTGTTTATATAATATGCCAACCCAAGAAAGAATCTTGTAACATATGAAAAGCTATCCACTCTGTAAGTTCTCATTTACTTACATTTTTTAGAAGTTCTTTTGTTCCTCTGCCACTAAGCAGGTTAAAGAAACTATGAAATATGAAAGCCTACATCCATTTAAGATCCAATCACAGTGCTACTGAAAACTTGTTATGATATGAGAATAGAAGCTGCTTGTGTATTCTTTCCTGTAGCAAGATAAGTATCCTCCTTTACTTCTCTTCCTTAGATATTGCATTCACATATTTTTAAAAAGTTCTTATTTTGTCAATATTCTGGTTTTCAATTGCTTTCTGTCAAAGTTTTCAAATATTAACAGATCCTTTACAGCATTTTGTGGCTGGTTCCTTCATACTGGGAGAAAGCTTATATTTTAAAGTTAATGATTTTAACTTTATTATACTTCCATTCATGGCATAGTTTGACGTTTATGTTTTTTTGTTTCACTTAGGTGTTAGTGGAAAAAAGGCTTTTTTGGTTTTTTTTCCTGTTGTTGTTGCATATCGTCAAGTCAAAACTGACCCAGAGTTGACTCTTTGGTGGGTTTTCAGAGACAGTTAATTGAATGGGAGGAGATTACCCATCCTTCTCCCATGGAACAGCTGGTGGAGTTGAACAATATGTCTTTGAGATTCCTGCTCAGCTTCTTACCATTAGGCCATCAAGGCAATATACAATATTGATTCTGGATCCCATAAACAATATTGTTAAAAGAAGTGATGGCAATTTGAAAGAACAATTTATAGCTCTATATTTTGCTCCTTTCTCTTAATTAACCATGACATTTTAATATATAAAAAGTTAAGATAAATACATAATTTAAAAAATTGAATTGTTACTAGTAAAATGCAATATCATAGAAATCACAAAAAGTAAATTATTCACCAAAACAACCAATGTGATTTTTAAATAGATATATTTTTGTTTTTGTTTCAAGACATAATTATATGTACAATGTTAATTATCATCTAAAATTTTAAAATATGATTTACATACATTAAAGAATTTGAACATAGATATACTATATAGTAGAACATTAAAGAATTTGAACATAGATATACTATATAGTAGAGGATATATAAAAAGGTTTATTACTTTTTTGGATAAGATTTTAATATTTTTATTGAATCATTTGAACAACTCTTACTTAGAAAACCAGCCATGTCACAGTTTTCTCCTTAAAGCCAGCCAAATGCATTTCTTTTATTCTAGTTACTTATCTTGTTATATCCCATTACTACAAGAAACATCTAGTGTTGTTGTTAGGTGCCATCAAGTCTAGTGTGACGCACAGTAACCCTATGAAAAGCCGATCTAAACCTTGTCTTATCCTGTTTCGTCATCATCTCTGACACACTAAAGCCCATTGCTGAAGTCACTGTGTCAATTCATCTTGTTGGGAGTCTTCTTGTCCTTTGATGACCCTCTTCCTTTCCAAGCATGATGTCCTTTTTCAAGGAATAGCCTTATCTAGCTACACGGCCAAAGTGTGAAAGACAAAGCTTCACCATCTTTGCTTCCAAAGACCACTCTGATTGTACTTTTTCCAAGACGTATCTGTTTGTTCTTTTGAAAGTCCACAGAATATTCCCTACTATTTTCCAACATCATAATTTAAAAGCAAAATTCCTCTTCTTCTGTGATCCTTATTCATTTTCCAGCTCTCTGATGCATAGCAAGTGATTGAGAAGACCATGGCCTGAATCAGGCACACCTTAGTCTTCAAACTGCCATTATTGCTCTTCAGCATTTTAGCGAGATCCCTGACAGCAGACTTGTGTAATGCAAAAAGCTCCTCCCCCCTCCTCCCAAAGGTGTTTATTTTTGATCATTGCCAGTTTCAAACCCTTCTCCATCTGTCATAACATTGTGGGAACCTATGTTTTCTTTATGTTAAGATGTAATCCATATCTAAAACTGTAGTTCTTGATCTTCTGCAGCAAGAATTTCACACTCTCTTCATTTTCAGCAAGTTGAGTAATCTGCAGGTTGTTGATGAGTTTTCCTCTAATTCTGATATCCCTTTCTTCTTCATAGAGTCCAGCATCACAAATTATTTGCTCGGGATACAGATTGAATAGGTACTGAGAAAGGTTACAACCTTAACTAGCACTTTTCCTGATTTTAAATCATGCAATCTTTCTTTGCTCTGTTCAACAAGAGCTTCTTGGTCTAGATATAGATTCCAAATGAGAAGAATTAACTATTTGGAGATTCTCATTCGTCTCAATGTTAGCCATAATTTGTTATGATTCACACAGTCAAATGCCTTTGTAGAGTCAATAGAACACAAATAGACATTCTTCTGTTATCCTCTGCTTTCAGCTAGTATGCATGTGATATCAGCAAGTAATTGCAAAGACCATGGCCTATATCAGGGGCTTCTTAGTCTCCAGACTGATATCATTGCTTCTCAGTACTCTGGAGAGGTCCCTGAGAGCAGATTCTCTTTGGGAAAAGGATGAGCAGTCTCCACTTTTGTGATTTATTGCCTCTGAAACCCCCTTACAGGGTCAGCTGTGGACAAGTTCTAACTTGATGGTACATAACAATAGCAATGTATATTAGTCATTTTCCCCCAATGTGACTCATATTTTTATTGTCATTTTTAGGTGGGAAGCTGACAAAGAAATTAGTTTTCATTCATTTTCCTCCCTAGCTCTCCCAAGTTTTCCTTTTTCAGATTATGGGTTTAAAGTTAACAAATATTTACATTTGATTTTAAGAATGTAAGGAGTTTTCAAAAATTTCAATGGGATTAAAGAAATGTCTGCAAGAACATTTGATTTCCAATCAGAAAAAAACAAACAAACAAACAACCAAAATGTTGTCAGAGTGTCTTAAGTTATCTCTGTTTGGTGACATGGGATCTAAAATGTAGTCCATGTAAGATTTTGAAACCCTATGTAAAACCTTAAATACAAGGTTTTGTTTTCAGAGTATATTCACAACAGAGAAAGCACAATATGAATAAAACATGTAGAAGCAGTGTTTTAGAGATATCTAGAGCTATACCAGAACTCATCGCATGGCTGTCAAGTCAGATTGACTCATAGCTGACCCTCTGATGGATTTTCAAAGACAGTGGATCACAGGGATTGAGGTTGCCAACTTTTCTCTCCCAGAGCAGTTGGTACTTTGGGTTAGGACTGACTGCAACTCTTTGTGGACCACACCCAGAGCTCAGAGCTTTTTAAGGCTACACACTTGATTTTCTTATTAATTTTTAGAGTGTACTTCCTTCATAATACACAGACTTTAGAGAAGAGATGAAAGTAATTTCTAAATGATCTCTTTCTTCTGCTAGAGTAAATTATAATAAAAAGCCACTAACTCTGGAACTATACATTTCAGAAGGAAAGAGAAAGAAATTGAGAAAGAGATAGGGAAAAAGAAAAACACAGAAAGAAAGGAATTAGTGGGGAGGGTAATAGAGAGAGATCATTTATATGATATCTAGAAGTTTTTGAAAAATAGATCTAAATGTGTTGATCAAGATATCATCCCCAGAGTCAGTATTCTTAGCAAAACAGAGCTTAAGGTATGTACTGACACCAGGAGTGGCATAATAACTCCATTTTTCCTGAATTTAAGAGCAATTTTACTTTCCACTGAAAAACTACCAAGTATACTACAAGACCTACATAAGCAAAATGCCATATCCTTTGTAAAGAGAGTGTCATAATAGCTCCATATCCAAGGTGAGATGGTGTAAATAAACTAGGTTCTATCTAGACCCTCAGCCTTGAAGTGAGCTAGGTGCATCAGCATGCATACTATATGTAGTGGTAAAGCACTAAATGATACTGGGGGAGTCAGTGATGGAGCCATGACGGACTGCCAGAGAGCAGCTGATGTGATGGGAGCATTTCAGTAACAGCTCTAAAGAACTAGAGAAAGTATTAGGCTTTCAGGAAGTAGCTTGGCTGAATGAAAGCCTATTTCTTATTTGCATATATTCTATATTTACAGATAAGACGATATACTTAGTATGGTGTTTAAACAATTTTATGTTACTTGACATTAGGTCATGCTTTATCATGAGATTATTTATAAAGATATCATGCTAAAAATACATTAGTCCTTATCAAAAAAGTAAACTATGTTAGAAACAACCTTAACTATATTTCATCCATATCAAGATAATATTCTATTATATGGAACATCAGACAATTCAGATGTTTAGCCAAGGCAACATAAGCAGGAATTTTCCACACACAGCCACAGAAGATACTAGCCTACAGAGCACAGAGTATACACTTGGTAATGGTGTGGAAATGGTTAACATTCTTTTTGAGGTTGTTGCAGATGATACTAAACATCTCAACTGGTTCTCCACTAAGCTTTAAAACCAACATTTTCTTTATTAGCCTTTTTCTAAACAGAACTTTTCAAAGGACATTGCATATGAAGGGCATAGCTTAAGGGTGCTAAATTATAGCTAAGTAACCAAAAGGACAAAGTTTCTTTGTTAAAAAAGAATAGGAATCAGCCTTGTTTTCCTACCCTTACAGAGGGGCTTGCACTTGCTGGTCAGCCTTTTGTTTCATTCCCTCTAGCTTTCTGCCAACACTAACCTGGGCTGCTTAGGGATGATCACAACATTTCTATGTTTGTTAAAAACTTCCTTTCTCCTTCTCAGACTGCTGTTGTAATCTGAGTTGAGCCTAGATCATTAAACTCTTCTCTGTCTGCAGAACTATAGCAGGTCATCTCCACGACTAGTCATACTGATTTATTTATCCCATCCACATCCTGCATGTAAGCAGGGTCTTGAATTGTATTTCTGACTCTACTAGTGCTGTGCCTCTCCACTCTCATCTTAATGGGAAAACAAAAATCCCGGAAACACCGTTTGAAGTTCTCATCAAGGAAGGCATAGAGGATGGGGTTCAAGCTGCTGTTGGTGTACCCCAAAGCAATGCAGAAGTAGTAGCTGGAGAGGGCTGCAGTGCTGTGGGAGGTGCTCCCAAGAGCCTCCACTAGTATAAAGATGTGAATGGGGGTCCAGCAAATCACGAAGACAGCCACAACAACCAGAACCAGCCTGGTGATGCGGCGGAGGTTGCGGTCCTTCTCTCGGGAGCCTGAGAGCAGCCGCACGCTCTTTAGACGCAGGATCATCAAGGTGTAGCAGATGATGATGATGAGGACAGGAATCACAAAGGCAAAGATGAAAACGCAGAGCTTCATGAAGAGGTCCCACCAGGAATAGTCATCATCCGGAAACTGCAGGGAGCACTCAATGACATCCATATCTGGAAGTGACCAACACCAACAAAACACACACACACACACAAAACCGTTAGTATTACTGTCCTGGCTCCAATGTGTTTAAAATTTAATTTCTAATATTGGTTGCAAAGGGCTAATTTTGATGAGGTGATAATGCATAAATCAAACCACCAAATTATAGACAAACACTGTATTACCAATTTATACTTGAATATAGAAAAATAAACTCTAGAGGAACACAGATAGTGTAGTGGTAGAGAACAAATTGGAAGTTGGTTGAAATGGGGAAAAGCAGTGGCAAATATTTAACAATTGGAACATGGGATGTGCATATCTTGAATGTTGGAAAACTAGAAATCATAAAAAATGAAATAGAAGGCATGAACATTGACACACTAAGCATTAGTAAGATGAGATGTACCAGCTTTGGCAACTTTGAATCAGGTATCAATCATATGACGATATACTATGCCTTTGGAAAGTCTATGAACATAGAGAAATAATGATAGTTATAGAACAGGGCTTTCTCCCTTCCATCCCCCTCCCTTCACAGAATGATTTGACTGCAGTTAACAACAAGAATAGATGAAAGGGAGACTGGAGTAAACAGTGTTACTCTGAAGGTGGGCTATCTTGTTTTGGTTGAGGGTCCTGTGGAATGTTTGGTTGTTTTTTATTTAAGCCTCTTGTTTAGAGTCAAAACCATCTCCTGGAGGGCTTTGTATTTAAAAGTTGGTTAGGCCATGGGTCTAGTGTAATTTTAATGTAGAGGAACATTCTTCTCAGTGGTGCAGCATTGGTCTGTCAATTTGCTGTACTGAAATAACCTGGAGTGGCTATGATGTTGAACTCTGTGCCATATGCCATAATCATTACCCACAGTGGATAGTGTTTGGTGAAGCTCCCAGATTAAGACATGTTTGGAAGCAGGAGTAGCATCTCCTTTATCAACAACATGCCTCTTGAAACTCTGAAATTTGAGAAACAAAGAAAGTTACAGAAAGACTTCAGGTCTTTTGTTCATAGCATTGCTATAAGTCATCCTCAACTTGACAGTATCATCAATCATCAATCATCAATAGAAAAATGAGACTTGAAAATCTTTATTTGTTGGCAATATGTATGTACTACCAAACAAATTTATTTCATCAGCTGGTAATATGAGTTATCTGGTTTGGGGAGCTGGTTTTATGTTGATAATTTTCAGAACTGTCTATCTGAAGCATGAACACTTATTTAAATTCCTCTTTATTGATAGTTCTACCAGACCTAAAACTCTGGCAGCAAAATCTAGTATTTGTTTGCAGTGCATAATCAAACACTACAAATCTAGCCATTTAATTTAGTGTCAGCTTGTCTGAAAAAAAAATCCATTTAAAAGAAATTATTATATAAACCAATCAAAATGAATACAACATTTCTATGACCCAATCTTTGGGATTTAACTGAATGGTGGTAGTCCTTGTGATTCTTTCTGAAACAAAAGGAAGAAGAGAAGGAGGAGAGGGGTGAAGAAGAAGAAGAAGGGGTGAGAAGAACAAAACAATTAGATCAGCAGCAGCAGAAGAGCATCATCAAGGGAATTAGGAATAAAGTTCAGCAAAATGTTCAATTTTAATAACATTGACTAAATAATTTAGTCACTTCAACCATTTCCCCCTGCTTACTTAGATTCCCCCCCCCCTTTTTGCTCTGTTTCTGTTTGCTGGAAAATATTCCATTGGGAGTGATCGTAACACTAGAAAGAGCAAAAACTCAAGAGCAGCAGCTTTCCCTGGAGGCTGCTCCCCATCCTCACCATTCCTCTCTCCTCCCTTTCCGGAAGCATCAGTCAGCTTCATTTTTCTCTCCTCTGAGCAGTTAGCACAGAGCAAACAACAGATTATTTGGCTTGTAATCATGAGCTATAATACAAGTGCAATTCTTAAAATGAAAATATTTTCTCCTCACAAAAGTAAATTTCACAAATAACAAAAGAGTAATATTTTACATGATAGAATAGCATATATTAATAGTACTTTCCAAAACATTTTAATGTAACAGTTAGTAAAGAACATTATTAGAAGTTCCACTAGTCTAAAACACAAAATATAATCATCTTACTGAACTAATAGGCATTACAGTGTTATATAAAGGGGTTTTGATAGTATCCTGGTGAAACACTTAGCTTATTAAGTAGAAGATTGGTGGTTCAACTACTCTCAATAGATCCACTGAAAACAAACCTGACTATTTACCCAGAGACAGTTATTATCTTGCTTGCATCCATAGTCAATTCCTTCGGCATCAACAGCCAGGAAATCAAGACATATTGTTGTTGTCATGTTGTTACATGCCATCGAGTTGCCTATAACTCATAGCGACCCTACCTATGTACAACAGCCCTAAATTCTGTTCTGTCTTATGCCAATCTCACTGTCTTCAATACACCCATCCCGATTACCCCAGCCACTGAATCAATCCACCTCATAGAGGGTCTTCCCCTCCTGTGCTGTCCCTCCACCCTCCCAAGCATGGTGTCCCTCTCCAAGGACCGGTCCCTCCTTATAACATGTCCAGAGTATGTCAGACAAAGCCTCAGAATCCTTGCCTCCAAGGAGCAGCCCGGATTTACCCTCTTCTGGATGAATCTGTTTGTTTTCTTAGCAGTCCATGGTACATTGAATACTCTACTCCAGCACCACAGCTCAAAGGCATCAATTCTCCTTCTATCCTCCCTAGTCATTGTCCAACTCTCTGACATATAACAAGTGATTGTAAAGATCATGGCCTGTACCAGACTCACCTTAGTCTCCAGAGAGACACCATTGGTCTTCAGTACTTTGGAGAGATCCCTAACCGCAGGCTTGCCCTTTGCAGTACGTCTTTCCATTTCCTGGCTGCTGGTGTCAAGAGTGTTGATTGCAGAGCCAAGCAAACTAAAGCTGTGCAACAATCTCAATCTTTTCTCCATCTGTCCTGAAGCTGCCAATTGGTCCAATTTGTCTTGTTGATATTGAGCCTCAATCCATATTGAAGGCTTCAGTCCTTGACTCTCTGCTGCAAGTGCTTCAGGTCCCCCTCAGTTTCAGCAAGCAGGGTTGTGTCAACTGCATAACGTAGATTGTTGATAGATCTTCCACCAATCCTGACACCACACTTCTCCTCATAGAGCCCAGCCCATCAGATAATCTGTTCAGCATTCAGGTTGAAAAGGTATGGAGACAGGACACATCCCTGGCACACATCCTTCCCAATTTTGAACCATGTAGTGTTTCCTGGCTCTATCCTGACGAGTGCTTCTTGGTCCAAGTATAGGTTTCACATTAGCACGATCAAGTGTTCTGGGATTCCCATTCTTCTCAGAGTCAGCCACAGTTTGTTATGATCCACATAGTCAAATGCCTTTGCATAATCAATGAAACACAGATCATAGACATTCCTCTGGTATTCCGTGCTTTGATCCATTTAACATGAGCTACAATATCCCTAGTACCACTACCCCTTCTAAACCCAGTCTGGACTTCTGGCAGTTCTCTGCTGATGTGCTGTTCTAGTCGTTTTTGGATAATCTTCAGTAGAATATTGCGTGCATGTGAAATCAATTACATTGTTCTATAGTTTCCATAAATCTGCTGTTAGGGCCCTCTTCAGAGTGCTGAAAGAACAATGATGTCAGTTTGACGACCAAGGTGACCCTGATTCAAGCCATGGCCTTTTCAACCATTTGCTGTGCATCTGAAAGTTGGACAACAGGTAAGATTGGTAAAGAAGATTCGATGGCTTTAAGTTGTGGTGCTGGAGAACAATGCTGAATACCCTATGCACTGCCAAAAGGGCAGACAAGTATGTCTTGGAGAAGGTACAGCCAATATGCTCCTTGCAAATAAGAATAGTGAAACATCATCTGACATATTTTGGGCATGTTGTTTGTTAGAAGAACCAGTCCTTGGAAAAGGACATCTCATACTTAGGAAGGTGGAGGGTCAGTGAACAGGGGAAGATTATCAATGAGGTAGACTGATACAGTGACTGTAATGGGGGGGGGGGCTTGAGCATGTCAGAGATGATGAGGGTGGCACAGGATAGGGTGGGGCAAAAATCCATTGTTCAGTGAAGTTGTAGTTGACTTGGTAGCACTTAACAACACAATCTGACTCAAATGTGTCAGGAGAATGGCACAGGACAGGACAGGTTTCAAATCTGTTGTTCATAGGGTTGCTTTGAATTGTAGTGGACTCAAACTTACAACAATAATATCTGGATTCAATAGAGTCACAGAACCAAGTCCACTGCCATTATATCAGTTCCAACTCAAAATTGCCTCCATAGGGTTTATGAAGTTGTATAACTTTACAGAAGCAAATCTTCTGATTTTTCTTTTATGGAGTGGCTAGTCAATTTGAGCAACTGACTTACAGGTTAGCAGCTAAACTCTTTAATTACTGTGCTATCTACAGGGCAGATATATTCAACCCTGTAGGGTCCCTACAAGTCACTATGAACTCAACAGCATGCAACAATATATACAATCTTAGTGCATACCCTTTTATCAATGAAATATAAACATTCGAATGGTTATTCAAATATCAAAATATATAGCTCTTTGATTAATTTGCAATTTTGACTTTCTAAAAAAAATAATCTTTGCCCAAACAAGCTGAAGCTAAAAGAAAATTAAATCAAATCCAAAGGAACAAAGTTTGACCTAGAGTGTATCCAGCCCACTTGAATTTCAGAATCTTCTCAGGAACAGGTTTGAGGCCTTGAGCATTGATAAGCTGTGGGAGGATATCAAGAATACCATCCATGAAGAATGCAAAACATCACTACAAGGGCAAAGAAAGAAGTAAAGACCAACATGGATGATAGATGAGACTCTGAATGTTGCATTAGAGTGCTGAGAAGTCAAAGCAAAGGGAAGAAATCAAGAAATTAAGGAGCTGAACAGAATATTTCAAAGGACAGCATGGGAAGACAAAGCATTTTACAGAAAAGAGCAGATGAAAGACATTTTCAAATTATAGAATCAACCAATAGATTA